GGTAGTCGTGTATATATATATATATATATATATATATATATATAAGAGGGTGAGAATGAGAGAGAGAGAGAGTTCTGAAAAGAAATTCTTCACCGAGTTCTGAAAAGAAATTCTTCACCTTCACAATATGGTAAAAGCTTTTGAAGAGAGGAAGTTGGGTAAAGGAATTTTCTCACTTCTGCAGATGAGGATAGGTTGGCCATTGGCATCAAGAAACCGTGGATTAAGATTAAGGAAAACAATTTAAACATGAACGCATGAGGTAAGAGGGGCTCTTTCGCTGCAATTGACAATGGGAATAGGGTTTGAGCATTGAGAAACCATGGATTCAGACTAAAACAATTCAGTGGGTGACAAAGAGGGCTTTAAAAAGAATGCCTGGTTTCCAATTTAGGAAAGCTCTTTATAAGGGGGTATCATGAAAATCCTTAAAAAGGGAATCCATGAAATCAGATAAATGAAGGTGCTAATAGGTTAACATGAAGCCACATATTCAATTCTTAGAAGGGTTCTTTAGGGTCTTCAAGAAAAGCACACAATTGAGAAGAACACTAGGTGTTTGTATTCAAAACCCTAGATCTGTGTGCCTCGCGCTTTCGTGGAAAACACTGCACGATGGTGAGGCTTTTTGTTTTTTTGTTACTTTCTTTTTTGTGCTTTCTTTAAAATCAATTATTTTGTTTGTTTAGTTTCTTTGTCCCTTCTTCTATTTTTAACGGAAGGATTGGCATAAAATCCTCGATTCTAATCATCCTCCATTCAAAATGGCTTGTTTGAATGCTTCTCTTGAGGGCATTGTTTTTGTTTATTTATTTAGAATATACTTGCAAGTATTTTTTTAACTGTTGGTGCTAAAATATGATGATTTATAGCTTTTAACAATTAATTTTTAGTATCTTGTTTATTATTATTGATGTTGTTTTCTAATGATCAGTATAAATGGATAACCAAATTTATTTTGAATTTTTAGGCCTAAAAAAGGGGTGTAAATGGGTCTATTTGGCAAGGTAGAGAATTACGTCTAGATCTACCGCACCTTTCCTAGGTCACGTCTAGGTCAGGGTTTAGGGCTGGATACATCATTTACATAACTCGGTAGGGTCCGGATCAGGGGCCCCCAACCTGTTTTCACCATATTAGATTATGGAGTTTGCATACAAGTCATGGCAAGATATAATCATTAGAATCTTTACCTATCAGAGAGAACAACAAAGTATGAACATCCATTGGAGCTAACACACAAGAACTTGAAGCCATGTAATCCATCTGCCTCAATTACTTGCCAGCAGGCTACAGCTTATCCATCGCGAGTTAAAGATTATCCATGGAAATTCTCAGAAGGAATATCAAGGTGAATCACCAAGGCATGAAACAGATCTTTTTATAATTAACTTACTTATTTTATTGGTGGATAATACTGATTAGAAAAAATTTGACAATCATTCACCTCTCAGTGATATTACAACAATTCCTGATGATTAACTCATAACTTGCCCCTGACATACATGCGCCCCACAAAATACATGGAAAGAATAGAGTGATTCATAAAAGATAAAAGAGAGAAACTCAAATTATATAATAAAAATCAAGATTCCAAAATATTTAGAACTCTAAAAGAACTTGATAAAAAAGAAATTCAAGAAAATTCAGAGGAACAAAATCTCAACGATTACATTATTATTGGCACTATGTCTCTCACAATTGTATGAGTTCTTAAACAAGAAACCAGTTAATTTATCAAAAGGTCTATGTATAATCAAGAGGTAAATGTTTTGGCGAGGGAACGGAAGCCAAACAAAAGCTACTGGTAACAAGCCCCACAAAGTTTAGTCATGACAGAGGCTCTATTTTACAAATCAAGAATCATTAGTACTCGGATTCATCTTTGTAGCAGATAGTCACATATTTGAATTCATTTTAGACAAGAATTAAGGAAAAACTGAATAAATGAACTAAAATAAAATAAAATAACCAATAGATTGCCATCCTCCATGCTAACTTCATTTTTCTCTGGAAGAATTCTAAACTCTTCATAGAAAAACACCCAAACAAGCGAATTTCACTACATCATGCCAAATATTGAGTGAGTAGCATGTAGTTCAGAATAATCATTAATCTATCTCAAGATGTGCCATGGTCCTTGAGAAGCAGCTTAGAGACCATCATCCTTCAAATGACTACCAAAGAGTACACTATTCATTTTCTAAAATAAAAGAAACTGATGAAAACCAGACTAAATAAAATAAACTAACCAGCAGATCACCATCCTCAACACTAAATTCTTTTTTTCTAGGGAAGTTCCAAACAATCTTCTGAGAAGGATGCCCAAAAAAGCAAATTTCACTACATCATGCCAAATACCGAGTAGCATGTACTTCAGAATAGTCATTATTCTATCCAGAAATGTGTTGGAGTCCTCAAGAAGCATTTTTACGGACCATCATCCTTCAAATCACTCTATCAAATAGTATTCTATTCATTTTTTTAATAAAATAAACTGATGTACGAGATCCAGATTACAACCACCCCACCATAAGGGAAGTCTTATCCAATCTCAAATGATTCTCATGAGCACACCATGAGGGTACCAGCCTTAAAGCAGTCTCACACCAAAAAAATCAAGATATTCGTATGGTAGATCGATATTTCCTTATTTTGTTTTAGGATAATTCACAGAGGCCTAATTCTTCAGCCTCAGGACAAGAGGGTATTTCCACAGAGATTCTTAACGTAGATGCAATAGAACCCATGCTGCTTCTGTGAATACCATATTCAGAGGGTTATGAGGTATGTTGAGGTTCAATAAAACCCTTTTCATCTCACTTCCTTTTCTATAGAATTCTTATGCCCAAAAACAAGGGTTTTGACGAGATTTGAGAATTCAGTTTGTTAAATCTTCTCAGAAACCTTTAAAAACAAAACATTGTTTCTTTTTCATAAACCCCAGAACGCAAAAAACATGACTAAAAAGTGATTAACATAATCAAAACTCCTTTAAAATGAACAAACCAACTTTTTCTGTTTCATAAGATTTTTTTCAAAAACAAAAAAGGAATCCCAATGTCAACTCAGCCAAGTAGCAAATGGATTCTTCGCGTCGGCCTAGACTGAGTTGAACATAGAATTTGATAATTTGAATCTCAATGCATACCAACAATACATTAAAATGAAAAGTAAGCGAACTATTTAGAAACTGTATACTTAGCATCATGTTACAACTCCCAGTAGATCATCTTAAGATTGACTTGTAACATTATGGAACTCTATTACATGAACACCACATGAAGTTATGTTCCCGGCTAGCATGTCAACTTAATAACATTGCTTTCTAGAGGAAATAAAAATGAATGGTCATTATTAACCTTGTTTTGGTATAATAAAAGAAAAATGGTGTTAATCCATAACTACAGCACTGACTTGCTCATATGCTGTCAAAAGTGGATCACTCCAAAAACCAAATGCCCGACGGTGAAAATACTAGATCTCTCTACATGTCAGAGGACTGAAATGTCACAAGCGTATACATAACAAGCTCCAAGAAAAAAGTACAATATTTAAGCCAGCTACATGCATTTATGTAGGGAATTACAAGTCCATACCATATAATCTATGCACATGTGCCTAGTTTCATCATACATCTCAGGGTCTCCAAATACTTGATCAGCAATAGCACGAAAGAGACAATTTCCATCTTCCACCATTCGTTTAACTTCTAACCCCTTTGTTCGCCTGATATCCAACTCAAATTGACGCTCCCTCTCCTGAAAAATGAGTCATTTTGTTAATTATGACGTCAAATAAATAGACCATCAAATCATAAAGAAAAGACCAGTGAAGACTTATAAACTAGCATCAAGGATATCATGACATAGAGAAATAGTAATTTAGCCAAATTTATGTTGAGAAGAGAAATAAAAGGAAATAGAAATTGGAAAATACAATTGGCCAAATTTATGCTAAGAAGTGAAATAAAAGGAGATAGAAATTGAAAAATACAAAAAATAGGGTCCGGCCTGAAATTAAATTCTTGGCCAAATAGTATCAAAAATGAAACAATATCATCATCATCAACACCAAAGCCTTTTCCCAACTAATTGGGCTACATAAATCCGGCCATTCTGCTCTATTAAAGGTCATAGCCTCAATGCTGCCATAAGTCCTCATATATTTTCTCACTACTTCCGACCATATCCTTTTGGGCCTATCTCATGCCCTTGTTGAGCCTTCCACTTGAATTAACTCGCACCTCCTAATAGGTATTGTACTGGGTCTGCGCCACACATGGCCAGCCCACCTAAGTCTACTCTCTCTCATCTTATTGCCTATTGGTGCCACACCTAAATTTTCTCGAATGTATTCACT